GAGGATGTGTTAAAGGCCTCCCGTTTTTTTGTCCTTACGCATGCAGTGGCCCGGATGTGTGGCTGCCCATGCATGTGTCCATTCACTACCCCTTTTGTTGCCCCCCAGGGGGAACTTATAAATGGGAAGTAGACGAAGAAGTAGAGGAAGAAGAAGAAAAAGGCTTCAAAATGGGGGCCCCACTCCATATATAACTGCTATAACTGCTCCTCTTTGTAGTTCCACTTCCCCTGTCCGATAAACCACAAAGAGAGGAACTTATCCCTGCTGTAGTGAGACGGTGGGGCGTAAAATAATTGGTGTATCTGGGATCCACTTAAAGGAGGATGCAGAGTTGCATCTACATGTGCAAATTGTACTAGTGCCTCTGCTGAAGGTTGCCCCTTCTAAAGCGGCCCCGCTTATATAATGCGTCATGTACCCACCTGGTGGTAGGAGGGGGGAAGGGACCCTATTCTTTGGTAATTAATAACTCTCCTCGCCATTTACTTCCCCCTCCCACGGTGTTAGGCACTCGCCTGGCTGGTGAAACCCATCACCTCTGCCACGCGCACTGCAAAACAAATTCAACCTTATGGAGGATCCACTTAGTACTAGGCTCCCCATTTGAAAAAGTAAAAAAAAGGAAATTGGCCTTATTCGCATTTCAAATGCTCCTGTTTGACTCACCACAAAGTGACGGACAGAGAGGAGCAGTTGCCTCCCATTTGTCAGGGTTCCCTCGATTGCTCTTTGCCAGGTCGAAGCAGCACATTATCCCGTCAGCGGAAAATAAAGTAGTAATGGAAAAAAAAAAAAAAAAATTACAGCCACGGTGGAGGCTACTATTAATCGAATCGAAGGAGAGGAATACCACGCAAGCTCCATACCACGACGCTGCTTACAGGAAAATAAAATAAAAAAGATGCGCCGAATTGGGGGACATCACGAGGTAACTACATCTGCACCTCCCCGCAGCTTCTCCCCCGCTCCAATTGTATCCCATTAGAACTAGCCAAATTGTGCCGAGGTGTGGGAACGACGCCCTGAATCTGACGAATCAGGAGGAAAGGGTAGCTTTTTTTTCTGCAAATCGATTTTGAGGCAGTGTACTGATGGGGATCCACTGCCGAATAGGTCACCAAATTACTGAAGTGAGAGGGAGCCTCCCCCAGAACGGATGCCAGAAAAAAAAGGCGTCATTTAAGTGAACAGATCAGCGAAGTGGCAGACCCCACCCCCAACCAAAACGCGAACCCTAACTCTAAACCTTGAACCCAAACCCAAACGGGAAGTCAACCCCTCCTCTTCCCTTTACCATGTTCTCGAAGAGAAAAGTAGTCAAGCGGAACATTCGGAAGGTCACGGGGGAGGAAGACTCCAATTTAAATGGGCCCCCAAATGATCGGGAAGAGGAAAACTGCACCCAGGAAGAAACCACAGTGGGGCGGAGAATAACCCAAGTATGCATCCCCAAGAGTGAGGCCGCTATAGTAGCACCCCTCCCCGAAGGGGGATCTGCAACCCAAGACGACATCCCAATAAGAGAGCCACCGAATGAGGAAAAGCGTGAAGAAGCATATGGGAGGGGCCTCCAAATGGCGAGTGATTCTTCAAATGGGAACTTCACCAATGAGAAAGGCACTGAACAGGAAGGAAGTAATCACCACGTGGAAAAGAACAATGGATCGGACGCGCCCACCTCGCTACATCCCTTGGTACCCCCCTCACAGTTGCACCTTTCATCGACGCCCAGCCAAGAGGCAACCACCAAGAAGGGGAAAGTCAGCAGAAGGGAGGAGAAGAAGAAAAAGGAAGAGACAAGGAAGGTTAACAGGATGAACACGAGCTTTCACATCTATAGTGACGATGAAGACGACTGTTATGTAGCGATTCGGAAGAGGAAGGGTGTACAGAGGGGCATACAGAGTGGGTCCCTCCAGGTGGCGGCGGATTCACCCGACACGGTGAAGGCTGCCAAAGGGGTGGAGGCCCACGCGGTAGAGGCCAGCCCCGCAGAAAATGACGCTGAACAGAGGGAACCACTCCCAGGGGGGCTACCTTCACGGGAGTTTCTCATTCGAAGGTATGGGGTGGCTCTCCACCGAGAGGAAGCAGCCACAAAGGAGGGTGAGAAGGGCTATCAAGCTGAGAACGGCTTCCAACACGAGGATGGCTACCAACACGAGGATGGCTACCAACACGAGGATGGCTTCCAACACGAGGATGGCTACCAAGACGAGGAGGAAAAAAAACTCATCGAAAGGATAAAGCTGAAGAAACAGATTTTACGAAAAAAAAAAAAAACTCAGTGATAGGTACAGCTACCTACTACAGGAGGGCCATGAGGGGGAGGAACCTGTCCCTATGGATTTCTCCCTGGGGATGAATGCACAAGAGTTTCGTGGAAGGAACAGAATGGCAGCTTCGACGGATGACCACTTACAGAACGGAGATGATCGCTCACTAACAGAAGAGGGGGAGTTCCTAACCGAAGACGACCTCGACGTGGACGACATTTACAACTACGAATCGCTCACCGAAATGAAAAACAGACTCATAATAAAAAAAAACAAAAGTGACGAGGTGGACACATTTTATGGAGTCATAGGGAAAGTACCAAATGAGCGTGAGCAGGATACCCACGAAATTGGCAGCCCAAACAGGGAGCATATAAATCGGATGCAGGAGGATGAACTGATTAGCAGAATTGTAGACGTAAAAATGATTTCCCAGGTGAAGAAGGAGAAGAGGAAATTGCAGCAGGGGATGATCCCCCCATATGAGGGTGGTACAAGCGATATATTTTTCGATGAAGTGTCCAAGGGGAGTGACGAACCGGTTGGGTTAAATATGGAGAATCCTTTGCATGTCGATCGTCCGCCGGGGCCACGTTCGGGCTTTCCCACCCCGAAGGGTGAGCAGAAGCAGCAACAGCAGAAAAAGACGCAAACGAGTGGGAAATTGCCGAATCGAGAAAAACACCCAAACAGTGACAACTACATGGAGGAAGAGGACGGGACAAACCGCCCCCAAAGCAACGACTGTCAGTACCAACAGGAAAATGAAGCTCTCTTCAGTGAGATCAAAAGGACCTTTAAAAAATACGGCGTGTGTAACACACAGATTGTCGAAATGTATGAACACATCCTGGACCTCTTCGAGGAATACAAATTGCGAAAAGATGAATCGGGACAGGTGAAAACTTTAGTGGAAAATTGCAAAAATAAGTACATCGAATTGAAGGAAATAAGAAGGAAGAGAACAAAAGAACTTGTCTCCTGTGCAAGCTTCCTTCCATTCTTTTATCATCTGATGAAGCTTATCAAGGCGAAGAACAATCTGCTGGACAACGCACTAGCAGAGTCCTCCGAGATTGACGTCACTTTTTTTATTGTGTACCAAAATTTGAAGTTATACCTTTATAGGAAGTACTACGAAAAATACAAGCTCATTTTTGTGAAGGATTATATTTACAACAAGAAATATTACAAACGGAAGAAAGAGAGGGACAAGAACGAGCTGCTCACAGGGATGCTAACCGATGGAGTTGTCCCGGACTGCCAATTGGTGCATGACTGCGCACTCTTTAACGAGCGCTTTGTCAATGGGGTCAACCACCCCAATGGGTTCAACGACACACGTGTGCACTACATGTTTGATGGGTTCTCCAGCAATTACTCCACTGATTCGTCGGCGTCCTCCGATTGGGCCGAGGCCACAAACACCGCAGTGAAGAATGACGAGACCACTACAAACACTGCAATGAAGAAGGACGAAGAAACTACCACTCAAAGGAAGAAGAGGAAGGAACACAAGCAGAAGTACTTCCAGACATACAAGATGAAAGCGGTGAAGAGGAGGTACCTCATAGCCATCCGCAACATCTTCAAAGACGTGCACTCCTATTTTGTCAACTTTAAAAATGCCATCAGACATTTTTATTTTCTCAGATTACACAATGAAGATTTTTACTTAGCACACAGTTGCATGTCCTTATTCGATCCTGTTTTTCTGTTTTTTGCAAAATGTGAGTTACTCTTTTGGGATCCTCTCTACCAATTCTATCAGACCAGAACGAAGAAAAGGAAGCTACTCTCCTTGGTCGAAGATCAAATTGGAGGGAGCGACTCGGGGCAGATGCATGCCAAATTGGTGCAGTTGTACAGAAATGACGACTTCTTCAGTGCAAATAATCCTCCTCGAGGGAAGAAACACTTCCTGTCCCCTGTGCTCAATTGGACCTATGGAGATGACACCGCCAATTCGTCCCACGAGGCGGACGAGGCGGACGGAGCAGCTTCGTCGGTGGATCCCTTCCCAGGGGACCCATCCACCGAAGACGAGATCGACCACAGCACGCAATCGTCCGAATCGGAGGACGCGTTTTCTTTCACCAGTTCCAGCGAAGCAGCGGGGGGGGGAGGGGCAAAAGTCGGAGAATCGTCAATCTCGGGAGAATCACCAATCTCGGGAGAATCACCAATCGGGGAAAAACCGCCAATCGGGGAAAAATCGCCAATCTGGGAAAAACCCCCTGTGGAGAAAAAAAAAAAATACAAACCCGCGAAGAAACACTTCCACAACAACCCCAGCGTTAAAAGCTTCGAGTGGTACAAATTTATGGACGAGCTGATGTATATCTACCAAGTGGACGACGAAAAGGAGGTCCTGAAAAAGTTGTATGACCAAATTTTTAACAATAAGGTGCACGAATTAGTGGAGGCATGGAACCCCCTATCCTTGAAGCAGAGCTACAATTTGTGCGTAATCCTGGCGGAGTACCTCCTCTACAATCAGGACCGGACACACGTTACCGACATGGTGAAAGAGAAGATAAACAACTGCGTGTTTACTTTTTTCGAGGGCTATAAAAATATAAGTAGCCAAAAGAAGAAAAACATCTTCCTAATGAGGTGTTTAAAGATAGTAAAAAGTGTAAGGGGCATCCTTTCTCTGCTGAGTGACGATGCCCTTCACGATTTTGTTAAAAAAATATTCTACAACTTTGTCCTGACGAATTATGATTATTCCAGCAAATTACACAACTTGATTGTGTCCGCCGTGGTGCACATAATCCTCTCGTTGGGTATTCCAAAGGAGAGCAAATTTTTTCAAGACATTTCCACTGTGTTGTGTGGCATCACGGATAGGCTGCGCTCAGGCGACTTCGACCACGGAAAGTTCAAGGTGGAGAATTAGGCCCATCGCAAGATTCGTACGATTTGTTGGAAGCAAGCAAAGGGGGGAGAATTGTCCAACTCTTCGGATGGTCCCCATGGGGAGGTTTTGTTACCCACCCCCGACGCGTGTGTGTTACCCCTTACGCATCTGTATAACTCGTGTGTGCCTTTTTTTTTTTTTTTTTTTTTTTTTTTTTCTTTTTTGGTGCCCCCTTGGATGGGTGAAAAGAAGAGAAACTTTGCAGCAGGGAATACACACCATGGGGGAACTGTTCCATCCGTTTGGGGCTTCTTTCGCCTGTCCCTGCTCCTTATTAGTGTCTAAATGGACACGTTACGGCATTTTTGCGTCTAACCTGTTTTTGCTTCATTTGTCGTGCTTAGTTTGCCTTACGTAGTTTGCCCTAGTTTGTTTTCTTTTTTCTTCATTTTTTATTTCATGCTGACTTGGTCATAATATTTTTCAAACAACGGTTAAAAAAAAAAAAAAATATGACTTGTTCATAAATTTAGGTGTACTTTTTTTTTTGCCAAAATGGCTATTTACGGGGAGTACACAATAGGCCTAAATTGGCGCAAAATGGCGTAATTTCACACAATTTCACAAAATTTCACTTAGCGCGAACGCCGGGACCAAAATTAAAAGCGCAAAGGGGAACTAAACTTTAAAAAGGGAACTCGCGCCGCATGTGCGCAGGAACGATAGCACAGAGTTGTGCATTATGCATATTTAAAAAACTATAAGGACATGCGCCCGCATGTTCAAATGGGGTGTTGAGAGGCGACGAGAAGGGGGGGAGGGGCCGCTTTGTCCCGACCCGTCCATGTACAATTTCGCCGCGTTACGACTTTGCCGCGTTATGACTTCCCCGCTACGGGGCGGGCTGCGCGGGCTGCTCCTGCGACGGGGCTATGTGCATCATGAAGCCAAACTTGTACTCGTTGTTCGGGTAGTCTATATACCCGCTGACTCCAAAGCCCGAGTAGTCCTGCGTAAACACGGCAATCTTCCCACTGGTGTCGATGCTCCCCTGCACTTTCGCATGACGAAAGGAGTAGTCCCACCCCAGACGCATGGCAGATTCCTTCGTCTGAGGAGTGACTTCAAGCTCCGTACCCAAGGATAACCGATCGGATACTTTCTTAGCGTACTGGATTTTATACAAATGTGTCTGATTAAGCATAAATTCAGGCGACTTAAAATTTGGCTGCCTGACCACCTGCATTGACAGGACATTATTTTTGTGGTTGTATCGAAGCCCAAAGGATCCAATGGAAGCACAATTGGACGCGATATACGTTAAGTCCACCCCCGCTTGAAATTTTTTACTCAACATTTGCGTGTACGACGTGTTAAAGATCCAGGTGCCCTGCCATATCGTCTTCATGCTGTAGGTGTATATAGGCTTATTAACCTCTACAGCCATTTCGTACATATTTCTCGTGTCACTTTTCGCATAAGTGTTAAAATTGAGCTTGCAATCGATATTGTTTTGTATTCTTTTGCAGAACCTGCCATTCACACTGCCATCAATATTCACTCTGCTGATCATCAGCAAGCTGTTGTCACTGTTCGTGAAGTTTGCCCCGAATTGGTACAGGTATCCCACATCCCTTAGTGTCGTCCCAAGGAAAAGTGTGTGTGTCGACTGTAGATACTTGTTCACGCTTTTATCTACTTCGAATCGGAAGCCATCAAAGTTATCTTGTGTAGTAATAAATTTGTATTCCTTGTTTAGATTTTCAAAAAGCAAAGCATTTGGAGCGTCAAATGAATTCGTGAAAGGAGAGTTGGCTTGTTCCTTCAATGCATTTGAATCATCTTCATTCATTTTGTTTTTCTTCCCATCTTCATCTTTATCTGGTATGGTGCCTTTTTCTTCCCCATCTTTGGGCAATGCGTTTGATTTTTCCTCACAGAGGGTGATGAGGCCAAGCCTCCCTCTCCTCCTCCGCCGATCGCTCCCCCACAAAGTTGCATTCCCCTTTTTCAGGGCATCCACGAAGGAGTATTTACATTTTTCCAACTGCTCTCCTCTTTGTCTTCGCCATCTATGCAAAAGTCCAAGTCCAGGAATCTCCATAATTATACAAGTGTGTAAAAGCGCCTACGCAAAGGGGTATAGCTGTCTGTGTGCAAGTTACGCTTATGCTCCTTCCTTTCGCATGTTTCTTCCCGTTGGGGTCCCTGCCGCGTCACGTTGATGGTCCAGTCTGCTAATGGTCGACTCTGCTGATGGTCGACTCTGCTGATGGTCGACTCTGCTGATGATCAACTCCGCTGCTACTCCTCTTCCTCACCTTTTCTCACTTATCCTGCGCGCGCAGTACCGCCTGTCTGCTTTACGCGTTGTGGTTCTTGCCTTCCGCCTTGGCCTCCTCGTCACATTTGGAGGGCAGCTCGTACTCCTAGTCCTGAAGTCTTCCCCTGTGTCGGGATCTCTTCCGTCTGTTTCCCGAAACCGCGGGGTGGATTATTCTACTTCTGCTTTCTCTACTTCCACGAATTTTATTTTTTTTCTTTCGTCCGTTCCGTGCCCTCACATAGAAGCGTACCAATTTGGTAATAAAAATGGGGGACGCTCTAGGGGGGGCGCAACGTAGTGTACGCAAAAAAGGAGGGCTACTCTCGCATGTTATTTTTCTACGTGGCGATGAGCAACAACAAATGGGGAGTGTGGTGTGGGGAAGTCCTCTATCCACTCGTATGCGTTTGTTTACGTTTTTCTCCTTCTCACTCGAGTGTTTTTTATTTTTTTTTTTCATTTTTACTTTTTTTTTTGCTTGCTTTTTTGCCTCCTTTTTTGCCTCCTTTTTTGCCTCTTTTCCGTGCCCGTTTTTTTCTACCTTTCGGACCTCTTTCCTTTTTTCCCTGCTGACCCGTGCAGCATATTTTTGTGCAGGCTCAACTCCACGGTTGCAAATTTTCACAGATTCAGCTGAGTATATTTTTCTCCACTTCACATTCGCTTAACTCTTTTGCGTCGCTGCCAGTTGTGCGAAGGTTCCTTTTTTTTTCATTTTCTCCACCAACGTCATCTGAATGTGCCTTCAGGAAATGTGGATCTTTCCCTTTTTGTGCTTTTTTTTTTTTTTTTTTCTCCACTGCGACGTATATTGTAGGCCGCGGTTGGAGAGACGCTGCCCAGGTGAGAATTGTGCATTGGTCAATCAGCCCATTGGTCAATCAGCCCATTGGTCCCTCTGCCCGTCGGTCCATCTTCTGATTGGCCCATCTGTCCGTTTTCCCACCTGAGGGTGTAGAAGGCCGTTTTCTCCAAGGTGCTGCCCCCTTATACATTTTGCATCCCCACCGTTAAGGGAAATCCCCCTCACCGCCGCGGATCACAGTGTGCCATCCGCCTGTACATGCATTTGCACACTCATCGCTTTGTAGAGGTCTGCCCGTATTGTATGCCAACATAATTCTGTAGCATCCTCGTCGGGGGGGTGAGGATTAACTCAGCACGAGAAGAAGCAGATTTTTTTTTCCTCATCCTTATATGTCCCCCCTTTTTCGTCATTCCTCTCGCGGGTCAGATCGCTTGCTCATCACCACGACATCACCACAGTTGGTGGGCTAACCGAAGAGAGTGAAACGTTTAGGCGTAGCGATATGCACATGGGACGTGACGACAAAAGAGGGGTGTCATTTTCTGGGAAGGAAATTTTCCCCATAGGTTGGGCCATGCCTGCCATATCCTTTCCCGTTCCGTGTACACGGTCGATAGAGGTTTAGAGGTCTACCCGAAGGAGGGATATGTGTACGTGTTCTCCACAAAAGTATACCTCACAAAAGTATGCATACCCTTAGGAGCGCCATCTTATCTCCAATTTTTAAGGAGCACCCGCGGAAAAGACGTGAGACTTTCCTCCCCTCCCCCCCTTCCTCTTCTTCCTGGCTCTGCTCATTGTAGTAGAGTGCCCTCTTTTGTGGCAATTGGCCCAAGCGCACCTCTTGGCAAACGCAACAAAGTGAACCGACGCAAATGGTGACCCCCCTGGTCATCCTTATAAGCACCCATTCGATCTGTGCATTTGGGAAAAGGAGGTCGCTCTCCGGAGGGAGAAAAAGAAATTAATGCTTCTTCTATATAAAACTGCTCGTGTTTGTTGGCTCCATCACCCCATAGTGGTTTTCGCGGAGGGAGATGGTGCAGTGAATAATTAAATGTGGGGATCTCTCTCGAGAGTCGAACCTACCACGGTGATAAGAAACCGTCGCAGAGATGCGCGAGTGGACGCACTTCACCCGTTGGAGTAGTCGCAAGTCTGCTGGACGGGACGGAGAGCTAAGAACACCAGGTACTTTTCACGCCGAAGGGGGAATATGAAAAATGTATCCACAGCTAGGACAGGAAGCAATCATTTCAAATGTTGCCGCAACCCTCAGCAGTAAATTAGGAACACCTTTTTGGAAGTCTCCATAAGGGCACCCCCCCCTACCAGATTCGTTTTTGTCCCTCTGCCATTCTTTCCTTATAGTAAAGAATTTGGGGCGACTGTATAGAGAAAACCAGTTCATATCTTTCCCTGAGTTTGTCCCCTGGAGGGAAGAAGCGACGCATTTGTTTTCTTCCCCATATGCATAGTTGCTGGTATGCCCCTTTGCCTGTTACCCCATGGGTGGAGGAGGAGTCCCACTCAGTCGCTGCGTCATTGAAAAAAAAAAAAAAAAAATATATTAACAAGGGAGTGGGTCCAACGCCAGGGATGTCTCACAATACATGTGTTGCAGTTTGGGGGAGTTGCTGTTTCGCCAGCTGCATTTTACTGCTTCGCCATTTTCCCGTCTCGTGAATTTCCACCATGAGGGACGCGGAGATAACACGCATACGGCTGAGTCGTCCCCGTTCCGTCACTGCATCGATCAGTGACGATATGGCAGCGCGAACGGAGCAGTAACGATATGCCAACGCGCACGACACGATTTTTCTTCATTTCCCGGCTTGCTCCACCTCGAGCGCGGTCTTTCTTCTCCAACTTTGCGGAAGTTTTCTCCTTTGACGGGGCCACGCGACGTGCGGGAGTGTCCCTGAACGGAAAAGGCAAAGCCACTCGGCCTCTCCTGCATTTTCAATGATGAGGAAGCAACAGGGGGATTAGCCTAAGCTACAAGTATCAGCTAAAGTTAGTCACCCCACAGGGCATCTTTTTTTTCTTCTGTGCTTTTTTGTGATTTTTTGTCAATTTCTTCTGCCTTTTTCTGCCTTCTTGTGCGTTTTACTTTTTTTTCATTTTTTTTTTCCCCTCATTGGGCGCAAAAACGAGGTGAGCAGGTAAATGAAGTTTCTCCGCGCCTGTCCCTGTCTCTCGCCGCGGAGGTTTCGCGGTGAAAAGGCGAAGCGGAAAGCGGTGGTGGGACGGTGACGCGGCGAGATCGGCCAAGGGAGTCAAGCTAGGGAGGCGGCGGCACTAGCTCTGCTACCACGTGGCGGCACTCGCTAGGCAACGACGTGACGACGCTACGAGCACCACCACCGCTTCGCTGCTTCTCCGCCTCTCCACCTCGCCGCTGTTCCGACAAAATGATGAAGCACAGCATCAGGGGGCTATCCTGTTTCATCGACGAGATCCGGAACTGCAAATGTCTGGAGGATGAAGAAAAAACCGTGTTGCAAGAAATAATTAAGATTAAAAAAAAGTTCAACGAAAAGAATATCACCAACTATAAGAGGAAGAAGTACATATGGAAGCTCATATATTGTCACATACTGGGGTACGGCATTTCGCTGTCCTACCTAGACATAATCAAACTAATGAGCAGCACGAACTTCAGCGACAAGTACTGCGGGTACACAGCGCTGTCCTTGTTGGTGAACGAGAACAACGAAATGCTTCATATGATGATTAGTACGATAAAGCTAGACCTCAAGAGCAATGACGAGAAAGTTAACTTCCTGGCACTCCATTTTGCCAGCCAGAAGATTAATGACCTGCTGATAGAGAATATGTATGAAGACATACTTCACATTGTGACGTCAAATTATATTTACAAACCGAACATCAGGAAGAAGGCCTTCCTCTGTCTGGCAAACATCTACAAAAAAAGACATGACCTATTGCTCAAGAGCAAAACGGAATTAGAAATCTTCAAATTCCTCGATCAGAATCTTAATGAAGTGAATATGTTTAACGTTTTCGCTTACCTCAATTTGATGTATGTAATCATTTTGGTTTTTCAGAAATATGAGACGGTGCAGCAGTACCGGAAGAAGCAGGGGGGGAAGAAGAAAAAGTACTTCGGCGAGGAGGAGGGGGACGACGATGAGGAGCAGAATGACGACGAGGAGCAGGATGACGACGATCGTGGCGATAATCGCGGGGGAGGCACCAGACGAGATGAGCACTCCATCAAGAGGGAAGACCTCAAAGTGGAATCCAGAAAATTCAGAAGCAGAAGCAAATCCAGCAGTTCCAGTCAATCTAGTAAATCTAGCAGCGTTGGAAGCAAGCGTATAATGTCTCTTAACATCAAAGGCGAAGTAAAGAGCAGGGGGTACAACAAACACAGCAGCTCCTCTCTCTCAAAGGAGCAGAGCTTCCTCTACAGCGATCTGAAGAAGGTCGATAAAATCATGGAGATCGACTCACAGTGCAGCTTCAACATTGATGAAATAAATTTTTCTGAAATAAAAAAATACATCAACAAGTATCTTCACTTCATCCTCAACGTCCTCTACTTGATTCTGGATGAGAATCTAAATGTTGACGAAGGGTTCTACTATAACCATTTTAGATACCCCTTCCTTCTGATCAGGTGCCTGCAGATGGTTCAGCTGTATGATCTGCAGGGCTTGTCTCAAAACACCATTAACAATATTAACGATATTCTGTATCGCATCGTGAGCAAGCCGTTTAAGAAGCTCCAGGGCAGGATAGGCTTCGAATCGAGCATGGAGAAAAGTGGCCGCCCTCTTGGCCACCCCCATCCCAGCGCGCAGAGAAGTGGCGGGAGTGGTGGCGGCCCTCGAAGTGTCCATCCGAACGGAAACAGATATAACGATAAGCATGGACATGCCAATGGAAATAACAACCTAGGGAGCAGGAACATCTTCAGGAAAAGCTTCTCAAAGAATAGCTTCTACATGGGGAAGAAGAAGTCAAAGGAGGAGCTGAGGAACGAAAAGAGTACCATCTACATCGAATACGCCATCATCTACGAATGTTGCAGTGTGTACAATTTTTTGGGTACCAAAATAGAGGATCGAAACAGAGATATCATTCTCTGCCTCATCACAAACTCTTTCGATTCGAACAAGTCCAATATCAATTATGTCATTCTGAATAGCCTGGCAAAGTTAAAAATGAATCTCAAGATATACAACATGCTGGAGAATCACATCATGCATCTGATAAACCTCCTAAACAATGATGACATAACGATAAAGATACAAACATTTAATATTCTCTTTAACATGTGTAACAACTCCAACTGGAAGTTACTCATTAATGTCTTTTTGCACCACTTGCCTTATATTGACCCGTACATACAGAACGAGGTCATCATTAAGATTAGCATTCTTGCGGAAAACTTCTCCCCTGATCTGTCCTGGTACATCGACGTCATATTCAAGATGATTGAGATTACCTACCGGTCCATCTTCCCTGAGGTGTGGTTCCGCCTGGTACAGATTGTCACCGGGTTCGTTGAGGGGGAGAAGCCAGCCAAGGGGGGGGACAAGCTCGATAAGGCAGACAGCCGCGATAAGGGAGACAAACTGGATAAGGGAGACAAACTCGATAAAGGGGACAGCCGCGACAAGGCGGCCAAGTCCGCGAAGAAGGAAAGCACCACTTCCGATAACAGCAAAGTTAAGGAGGAACAGAAGGTGCAAACGTACGCCGCGATGAAGTGTTACAAATATCTGGCCGATCGGTACACAAAAATCGAGTTGCTCATCGATCTCTGTTCCTATATCATCGGCTCTTTTGGCTACCTCATAAAGGAAAAAGTACCCCTAAGCAACCAGCTGAAAATACTCGAAATGTATTTTACCCTCGGATCGTCTAACACCAAGTGTGTGATTCTCATGGCCATCATGAAGATGGTCTTCTACGACAGTAAGCTCATGTCAGCCGTGAAGAAGATCCTTACCAACTGCATCAGTCACGCGGATTTGGAGCTTCAGACCAGGGCATGCGAGTTTCTCAATCTTTGCAATTTGAACAATCCAAGTGTGCTGAACTATCTACTGAAGGGGATGCCGCTTTACCACACCAAGAAGGTCCACGAAAATTTCCTCATCAAGCGCCTCCTGGAGAAGAACAAGTGAGTGGGGAGGAGTAATCCCTCGGAGAGGTGCTCTAAATGGATCCCATGGCTGCATGGACTCTGCTGAGACATACACTCTGCTGAGACATACACTCTGCTGAGACATACACTCTGCTGACACCTACGCCGGAGACATCTTCCCCAAACATCTGCTTCCGACACCCGGCTTCCATCACCCCATATAACCGCTCTACCACCACCACCCTGCAGACACGCCGTAATCGACTTTAACGAAAAGGACAGCTCTCTCAAATTGGACAAATATCAGGAGAAAGCCAAGTTGGGCAGCAGGCATGAACAGAACTACAAAGGGGAGAAGGACGATAAGGATCGCGATAAGGACCATGACAAGGACCACGAGAGGGACGACCACAGCGACAGCGACTACAGCCGAAACAAGGGCTCCTCCTCCACCTCCTCCGACGCAAGTTACCCCGTTAAAGTTAAAAGAAAAGTCAGCAACGGGTCATCCGAAGATTCAAACAAATCATCCTCCACCTTGTCTACTCACAAAACAAAAAACTCAAGTGACCACACAGATCATAATGCTAAGCTATTTAAATCCCTCTGCTTGCAGAAGGCAAACAACATTAACAACCTCTGGTTTAATGCCTGCCTCCTCGACAAGTCCCTCTTTTTTAAGAACACCGTCTTGTCCATCCTCATAAAGCAGAAGTACCAGGAGAGCAGGGCCATCCTCACCTTTTACGTGAAAAATATTTCCAAGGCGATGGTGAACCTGGCGAGGTAGGTCTCTCCGGGGGGAACCATCCTATCCTCGTTGGCAACCCGACGGACCAGAAGCCGATGTGGGGGTTCCCTCTCCGATGTAGCAGCTGCCTGTCCGTAGATCCTTCCTCCCCTGCTGCACCACCTCGCTACTCCATCATACTGCTCCCTCCCCCCCACGCAGCATCCGCATTGAGGAATGCGAACAGATGAACATAAAGGAGGCCAAAATTGCGATGAACGAGAAGATAGAGCCGGACGGGGTGTACGTCCATAAAATTGTAATTACCATTCTGGACATCTTTTACAACATTCCCAGCATTTACTTTAATGTCTTGACTCAGACCTCGGCGGTAAGTGGCGCTGCTCAGTGATGTCCTGCTTAGCCATTTACCCATCTGCTTCTCACCCGTGTGCTTCTCACCGGGGAGTGGCTGTCCTAAGAAGCGCCTCCACATAACCACCTGCATTCCCCATCTCGTTGCCCACATCACGCCGCCCCCATCTCGCTGCAGAACGCGAGCCTCTCGTCCAAACTGCCCATCCTCATTACGCGCTTCATCAAGGAGAACAAAATGAACGAGGCGACATTTAAGATCTACTGGAAAGCCCTCACGCAGGTGCACAATGAAGACATCATAATGGGCGTCCCAAAATTTTCGAAAAAGTATTTCTTCAACTATCTGATCAATGCGTTTAACTTTTACATTTTGAAGGTAGCTAGCGAGGATGGAGTGGCTCCATCGGGGGGGTATTCCTCTGTCCACACCGATGCTGAATCGAATGGGTCATCAGGATCAGCGGCATTCCGATCAGCAATACCATCAACAACTTTGCCACCCTCACCGTGCCACTTCCCCCCTTCCTGCAGATCGGGTCGCTTATCTGCGCCTCGGGCTACATACACTTCCCCCTCACGGACAGCGAAAACAAAGTTTTAATTCTCGTTAAGATTCGACACGAAATGAAAGGGTACGCCCAACGGATCCACCGAACGGGGGCACCACCACTATGCGCTATCCGAGTAGATCAACCGTTGTCCGTTCACACAGATACGA